TGCCAAGCAGTCTGAAACTCAGACCCAGCCCAGCCCTGTGCTCAGCCCCGGCACTGCAAACAGATTACAGTCCCAGGTCCTCACTGCATACTACAGGCTTGCCCTGCTCCCACCACAGTGAGTGGCTCAGAAGCTACCAGCTCAGACCCACATTGCAAACCACATCCTTCTCTAGAACACTCTGTCCCAAACACTCTTTGATGCTTTCCTTTCTTTCTACCACACAGCCTCTGGGAGAGAAGAGATCTGTTGTGCTCACTGCCCCCTTGTTCAGCACCCTGAAAGGTACTTGGCACGAGATGGGCACTCCATCAAGAGTTGAAGGAATGAGCGAACAAACAAATGAAACACATCACTCAGTGAACGCATGTTCACAGGCCGTTCTGGAGCCAGAGCTGAGGATTCAGGCTTGGAGCTAGTGCACAGCAGAGGGTCCTTGCCCTCAAGGAGGTGACCCCCCCAGGGGGGGATACAACTCTTTGCGTGCAGGAGCCTGGGGGGGCGGGAATACAAGTGGCATTTCCTACTGAGACCAAGCCCTGACTCCAAAGATGGGGTGAGAATGAGAGAGAAGACAGCAAAGCATGGGGTTTCAGGAACCTTCAAGTACTCTTTCTGAGATGTGTGGGACTCTCTCTACCAGAGAGTGGGGGCCTACACTCACAGCGAGGGCTCCTGGCATCTCAGACCCCCTAAGAGGTTGTACATATGGACTGGGTGATATCTGGGTCCCACTGGGGCTGGCATCTGGAAGAGGACTTCTGGAGGAAGAAATTGGGTCCCACTCAGAGGGCAGGTGCCCAGCGAGGAAGAGCCCTGTGGTTGGGTAAGCACTTCTCAGCACTCTCCCAGAAGAATCTCATTTCCCCACTTCTCCAGCCCTCCCACCTCCCAAGTCAGATCGACTGTATCTCCCCTCCCTCTGTGGCAGCCAGCCCCATGTTGCTATTTCCTCCTTCCCTGCAGATGGTGTTGGTTAGAGAGTGTTTGAAGGCAAGCTCACTTCCTCCATCTTTTCTGCTTTCTCACTGGGAGTACTTCCTTTTTTCCTTTACCCCACAATGCACACACACACACACACACACACACACACACACACACATTTTAAAGTTTTGATCCATCCATTCTTCTACCCATGACTTCATCCATCTACCTATGGACCCACCTTCTATCCATTAATTCATCCATCCCTCTAGGGCTCAAACCATGTATCCATGGATCCCTCCATCCATCCAGGAGACACTCACCAAACACCTACTGTGCTCCTGATCTGTTATTCAGGGTGGGGAATAAGGACATAATCCCTGTCCTTCAGAGCCTACAGCCTGACAGGGGAATAATCATTGCACAAATAACTGCAAAGTTCACCACATCTGTGATAAATACTATGCAAGAGAAATGCCTGAACTCTTGGAGAGTGGCAGGGTAGGCCAGTCTGAGAAAGGAAGGGTGTCGTGCCCACGTGTCCTATCGTCCAGCAATAAGAGGCAGACGCGAGTGAAGCCTTCTGCAGTAGTCTTTATTGTGCACACCAAGATGAGGAAGAGGAAAGGGCCCCGACCCCGGCAGGCTGTCTGCTCTTATGTGCTGACTGGCCCCGCCTCCGCCGATGATAGGTCGGCGTCATGATCACTCAGGGTCCTGGGCGACCGGATTTGTCAGTCCCCAGTGTTCACGCGCCGGCCACGCCGCAGTTCACTGCGCATGCGCTAGGCGCCTGCGCAGTACCGCGAAAGCTACGTGACTCTCCACCAGGCACCAAGGTGTGGCTTCTCCGGCCGGCGCCATTTTGGGTACGGCATGTGGCCAGTGCATACGGATGCGGCTGGCAACAGAAGGGTTCACTCAAGACCTGGCTGGTTTGTTGCAAAACAGCACTGGACATGTGGCATCCAACAAATGGATACTTCAGTTTCATTTCAGTTTAAAAACAGAGCAGTGGAATTTTATTGTTGTTTATGACACAATACTTTATTGTTTGTGGTAGTGTAGCCAAGAGTATTGGGCAAGAGGGGAACAGACAGAGGACGTGAAACTGTTTCCTGGCTTCAGCTTGTGTTTTGGAAGATGTAGAAGAAAGACTTCCTTCCTGACATCTCACTCAGGAAGGCCCGGGCAATTGCAGCCAGAAAATTCCTAAGAGACCTCTGCCAGATTTGTGGATGAAGATGCATGATGCTCGCGCTTGTGCAGGAACAAGCTTCACCAGACACTTCACTTGCTATGGAATCCCTAGCAAGCTGCCTCTCAGGGAGATGGTTTCTTTGGGGGAATTAGCCCTTCTCACTTGGCATCAGCAAATAACACTTTTCTCTTGGGAAAACTTGAAGCTTATTTGGTGCCCCACTCCCCAAGCTAACAGACCTCTATGAGTAGAACTGCATTTTTACTTTGTAGAAAACTCAAGGGGTATATATATATATATATATATAAAGCACGTAAAATATATTATTTGTATGATGTTTTGCATGTTGAAGTGATGCCACTTTGGATATTGGAGTAAACAAATTAAATTTATTAAATTAAATGGAGTAATTTCACCTGATCTGTCTTAAATTGGAAAAAAAATATTTTTTGAGATCCCATTTTCAAACATTAAGACTCCACTAAATAGAGTTCAACAAATAAAATGTAAAATGACATAATCCAGCAGGAAAATAGACAAGGGCTTATCAAGCATAAACAAAGGAAAAGTTCAACTTTGCTAGTGTCCATTTAAAAATAGCTGCAGATGGACCTGGTGCAATGGTTCACTGGCTAAGATCCTCATCGTGCATGTGCTGAGATTCCATGTGGGTGCCAATATGAGAGTGAATGGGCATTTGGGGCCAGGAAAGTCCCATATAGCTTCCTGCTTCTGGCCTGGGAAAGCAGTCAAGGATGCCCCAAAGCCTTGAGACTTGCATAGGAGACCAAGGGGAGGCTCCTGGCTCCTGGCTTCTTATCAGTTCAGCTCTGACTGTTACAGGCACTTGCTGAGTTAAACAGTGGATGGAAGATCTTTCTCTGTCTCCCCTTCTCTCTGTAAATCTGCCTTTCCAAGAAAAATAAATAAATCTTTGAAAAACAAAATAAAATAGCCACAGAAGCATTAAAACTACTCTTGTTTGACAACCTTTATCAATTTGAAAATGTTGCTACTAGAAAGACTAAACAACGACAAGTCTATAGATAAGGGACTTGCGCTCTGTCTGTGAACAGAGCTGAGCTGACAGTGCAAAGCAGGAGTTGGCCAGGTAAAAGCAAGCAAAGGCACCAAGGACCTGAGGAAACCAGTTAGTTCCCATTTACAGAGCTCTCGTCTTGCGCTTACGACTTCAGACCTCATAGGCACAAGAGGGAAAGCATCTCGAGGGAGACATGACAGATCCATCATTTGCAGTGTATGAGCATGCTGAAGCATGGGGCTCCGTGGCCAGTTGAGGTTCTTGACTTTTGCAGTGCAGGCTGGTTTTCATGTCTTAACACTGCTTTCAACCCAACTGTGTTAAGTTCCTCCTGCCTGCCTGGCCTTGGTCTCTTAGACACCACTGCTGTTTCTGGACACTTGTAGCAATGTGCTGACAAATGGACCCCAGTCCCCAGTCCCGTGCTGTGCCCCTTGTGTCTTGAGTCCTCCCACAAAAAGCCAGTGCTCCCTGTGGACTGCAGGCAGGATGCTGGGAACCCAGCCACTGCCCTCCCTCCATAGGGAACTTTCTAGGACTCTGTACTCTGACTCTTCTGTGTGGAGGAAGTCCAGGCTGCTCCTCTGCCAGCCCTCCTCTCGTTTCGGTTCTCTTTTCTCCTGCTCGCAACGGCACAGGTGTGGACCACCAAGTCTGTGGTTGCCTTAGGAGGTAGTCGGAAAAAGCAGAGTCTGCTTGCAGACACCCTAGTCTGCGGGAGGGCCCAGGCTGTCATGACTTGCTTTCTTGGTGGCTGCAAGGTAGAGAGGGAAGGAAGATTTTGTAACATGCCCAGCCATCAGGCTGACGGTTTCTGCTGGCAGCTGAGGTGAGAAGGGGGCTGCGGTGGCTGGGGGAAGCAAGCCGGGCTTGGCTGCCTCCAATCAGTCCTCAGGACTTCCCTGACCCATTCACTGAGATTGAGCAGCCACGATGTGCTTGGTGCTTTGCTGGTGGAGCAAGTAGCAGCATCTTCACAGAAACCTGCCATTCAGGGGTGGAAACATCAAAAGAAGCAAGTGTCCAAACAGAGCCAACCTTGGGAAACCAGATGGAGCAGAGTGAGGAGCTGCAGGGAGGCCTACAATGGCTGCGATGCCAGTGGCTGTTTGAATTTCACTTTCTTTTCCCCAAGCTGGACGTTCAGGGGATGATCCTGGGCCTGGTGAAATGGCGAGGCAGGGGCTAGCTGCCCAGTGTACTCCTTGCTTTTCTTCCTGTCCATCCTGATCCGACCTGAACCCAGAAGCCATCCTGAGTCTAGAATAGCTGCTTAGGGTACACCTTCCAGAGGAGGGACCCCAACAAGGCCACCACATCAGAGACCACTCTGGGACCTGAAGCAGGGTGCAGAGCCTGGCTCCCACCAAGCCCAGCCCAGCTCCAGGGCATCAGCAAGAGCAAGTGGCAGCCAACACTGGCCCACCTGGAGTCTGAGGTTTGGAAGAGGCTTAGCCGCAGTAACCACTTCTCTTGTGGTGGCATAAACATCATCCCGGGCCTGGAGATGGGTGGGTAGACAGCTGGGATATAAAGGCAGCCCTGGCCATGGGGACAGCAGGTGGTGACTGTTGGGTTTGTGCAGAGCCTTGTCTGGGGGTGTCATCTGGCCAGACCAGGGTCGCTGCAAGCCCCTTCCCATGGCTGCCATACCTGGGCAGGTGCTGGCCTTCCTCTTGCCTACCATCCTGCTGGGATTCTCAGGTGAGTCTTGAATCAATGCAGGCACCTGTGTCCAGGCCCTGGCCAGGCTGCATCTATGCCTGCCGGTTCTTTGTTTGCTTCTCTTCCTTTGTGAAGACCTCTTCCTTTTGGGGGGGGCGGGGAAGGGAGATGAGCGAGCATGGGGTGAGAGCAGGAAGGTACCACACAAGGTCTGGGGAACACCTCCCACCCAATGTTCCTTCTGTCAGCGCTACTCTGAGTCAGAGGGGGTGGGAGTGGGAAAGACAGAGGGAGGGAATGCTGACTCCTGGCCCCAAATCCCACCCAAATCTCCACCAGCCACTGTCAGGCTGTGTGATCCACAGCAAACCACCAGCTCTGAGTCTGTCTTTTTTCAGGATGCTAGAATGACCATGCTGGTCTTTCCAACCCTCCCCCCACCGCCCCGCCCCACATATGCTCAACTGGGGAGTAGATGCAGACAGGCATGCATGTCCACAGCGTTTTACAAACTGAGGGGAGCTGGGCGCAGGCAGCATTAAGAGAGGGCAAAAGGCCCCATGGCCTCCTGCTGCCTGCTGCCACCTGTCCCTGTTGGACCCTAGGCTGGAAGCAGAGCATTTTGCCTCCATTCCAGTGGCAGGAGACTAGGTAACACTGCCTGCGTGAAGACAGCCAGCAGAGGGAGGCTGCCCAAGCTGAGGGACGGAAGGCCACATGTCCCCACACTGAGGAGACACTTCACTGCCAGACACAGTGCCCTTGGTGCCCAGCAGGAGAATCTTCACCTTTCCCAGGCTGTGCTTCCCCAGTTCTTCCCATCTCAACAAAGGGGAGCCAGCTCTACCCCGAAGCTGAAGAAGAGATGGGGAGGGATCACTTGTCCCTGGCCTACTCTGCCCCCACCTGTGTCAAGCCATTCCCAGCCTCATGGGCTCCGGCTCCCAAATGCATTCCCAGGTCCTTCATTCCTCATGGTCCCCGTGGCCTGGAGGCCCGCAGGAGCCCCTTGGAAGGCTCCCCAAGCTTCTGTCCAGCACCTCTGCTTGTTTCTAGAAAGGGCAAGGGAGCTGACCTTGACTGCCGGTCCCCTGGCTGTGGTGCGGGGCCTCCCCTGAGGGCTAGGCCTCCCGATGGATCCTGCTGCGTGTCGACCCTGCGGCCCCCTCTCCCCCTAGCCACCCAGCTGTTGTCATTGTCGTCGTTTGGTCAGGAGCTTTCTTTCTTGCAGCTGCACAGCTCATCTCCCTCACGGGCCCCACCTCGAGGAACACCCCCGGGGCAAACGTGCCTTTCAACTGCACAGCGGGCATCTTCCCCTCACAGAACATCAACGTCACGTGGCTGAAGGACAATGACGAGCGCCCAGCCTCGGCCCAGTACCTGCTGGATCACGGTGGAGGCAACTATTCGATCAGCAGCAAAGTCTTTGTGGTCCTGGCCTCCCATGACCTGGGGTCCACCATCACCTGTGAGATCGCCCACAGTGCCCTGGCCGAGCCCCTTCGCGCCACCGTGAATCTCTCACAGGTGTTCCAAAGTAAGCCGGGCAGGTGGGTGGGCCCCAGCAACCTTCAGGGTCTCCTCCCACCCCACCCTATCCCCAAAACCTGAACACCTGTTTCTGGATACAAACATGGGTTCCTGAGGTAAGTCCCAGCGGCTCTGCCTCCCATCCAACTCTCCACTGTTGCAGCCATTTGGGGAATGAACCAGCAGCAGATGGAAGATTCTCTGTCTCTGCTGTTCAAGCTAATGGACTAATGAGTTGATCTTTAAAAAAAAAAAAAAAGAAAAAGAAAAGAAAAGAAAGAAAGAGAATGCAGTTCCAGAAGACTGTTCCCTGCGCTCTGGTCCTACCTGAGTCACTTCACACGTGGCGTGGGACTGCTCACATTCCTTCCCTCTTCTGTGTCTCAGTTTCCCTGTAAAATGGGGCTGACATGAAGCCTGACTTGATCGAATTTTCACAAAGAGGAAGCATCATCCCTCATACGACTCCTCCAGGAGTGCCTGGGAGGGAAGGATGCACCTGCAGCTGTGGCCCCGTCTGGGTCTTCCCTGCAGCCTCTTTCTACTCACTGCTTTGTTCGGTCAGCACTGTTGATGTATGTAAATGTTCATCGTCCATTCAGTAAGTTAGGAGCACCCAGAGCGAGCACGGTTCAAGGTGCTGGGGATGCTGCTACGCACAAAATGGAGCCCTTGTTCTCGGGGGCTTCGTTGTGCTTTAATCTTCCTGAAAGTTTCATTTGACAACATGGGAGATCCTACACACAACAGAGAATGTGGCAAATGCCCTACTCTCCTGCCCGTATTTAATGAACTTGAACATCTAACCCTATTTGCCTTATATTTAGTATGCAAGAAAAACAAAAGCTTAAAATTAATTCCTTATTTTTATTTGAAAGGCGGGGTTACAGAGAGATCACACAGATAACTTCCATTTGCTGGTTCACTCCCCAGTGGCCACAACAGCTGGAAGTAGGCTAGTCCAAAGTGTGCAAGGGTAGGTTGAGTTGAGGGTGGGTGGGTTGGTGGTGTAGTGCTTCTTCCAGGTCTCCCACATGGGTGCAGGGTCCCACGGCTTTGGGCCGTCCCCCACTGCTTTCCCAGGCCACAATTAGGGAACTGAATGGGAAGGGATGCAGCCAGGACACAAACTGGTGCCCATATGGGTGCCCAGTGCTTGGAGGTGAAGGATTAGCCACTGAGCCACAACCCCTCTCTCTGTTTCCTGGTTCTTCAGTCACCCCTTCCCTGAAGATAACTACCAAGCCCTCTGTGAACCACCTCCGTGAGCATCAGAGAGTGAACCTCACCTGCCATGTCAGCAACTTCTACCCTGCCCATCTGACACTCACCTGGATGGAAAACCGGCACACGGTCGCTACCGTGATGAACCCCCAGGTCATGAGGAACACAGATGGGACATACTCACTGAGGCACACGTGGCAGGCAGAGGCCACACTGGAAGGGAGTGAGTTTGCCTGCTGGGTGGTGCAGGACGATCAGCCCCCTATGCAAGTCAACATCACCCTGCGTGCACAGGCACAGGAGCACAAGAAAGGTGGGTGTGGCTCCTGCCCAGCCTCCCCCAATCCCTCCCGGGGCAGGGCAGTGTGGCCAGGAAGGGCCAGGGGCTCTGGGTGGGAGTGGGTGGAGGTAAAAGTGAACCCACATATTTACCCCACATCCACTTCTCCCACCCCCAGACTGCAGAGGACTGGACGCCCCTCCCTCAATCCCTTGCATCCTTCACATTAGAAGTTTCTTGCCTCCGCACTTGAGTGTGAGCTTAAGGCCTGGTGGGCACTCAAGATTCTTTAAGGAAGCATGTTTAGCAAGACTGGTCTCCTGGTCTTTTGGATATCTGCTGAAGAGAGCAGAATTCGTGACTCATCCAGATGGGAAAGGGGGAGGATGGTATCGCCCCACGGGGTTGGTGAGAGTCCTTCTCCTCCCTCACTCCTGTGCCTGTGATCCCCTCTTGTGTCTCTTCCCTACCCGGCCTCATCTTCCTCCCTTTCCTTTTCGTCATCCAACTGTGGCTCCGTCTCACTCTTGCAGCCTTACATCCTGTTCTCCACCAGGGGGCGCTGCTGGCCGGCGGTCCGGACCAAATGGGCTGCTTCCCTTAGTCTCGCTGGGTTAAGCCTGGAAAAACAGAGTTGTTGGCATCCGGAATTTTTGGCCGCTCATGGGTAGTGGGAATTGGGTCTGGCCAGGCCCAGGTGAGTCAGGGGTAAGCCAGAATGTGGACAGACAGCTCTTTAGAGCCACGGGAAGTGATAAAGGTCACTTCCTAGGAGGTGTTAAGTGTGTACCCGTTTGGGTGCCCCTGCCACTCTCTGCCAGAATTGGCCTTGGCCTGGCTGCCGGGAGAAGCCGGTCCTATCTCATCAGCTTTGCATTTCTCTGCACCCTTAGTGCTGCCCACCAGGAATGAGAAATATATCTCCACCCCACATCCCAGCAGCTGGGCACCCAGCTCCATCAGGGCCCTTCTGAGCAGAAACTGATAGGGTTATCTCTGCCGGGCCCACCGCTGCATCTTCCCATCTCTCTTACTGTCCACCCCCCACCTGTGGACCTTGTGCCGGGGCCACTGTCTTCCAGCACCTCCCCCGCAAATAAGCACCTGTGCTTTTGCTGGGCAGCCCCTGTGCTTTTGCTGCTGTTTGGTCAAGCCCCACCGGGCAATGCTGTGTGCCAGCCTGCGACTGCGTGGCAGGTGTGGGGACCAGCAGCTCAGAGCCTGGGACTACTGTCCACTCCCGAGTTCCCCTGTGTTTGTCTCCTTTCTCCTGGCAAGCCTTAGGGCTATCTAAAGCTTCTTCTTAGATCCTGGTCCTAACGACTCTATTATTATTTTTTTTTAAAGATTTATTTAGAGAGAGAGGTCTTCTATCTGCTGGCTCACTCCCCAGATGAAGATACTGGCAGGGGCTGGGCCAGGCAGAAGGCAGAATCCAGGAGCTCCATCTGGGTCTCCCACATGGGTGGCAGGAGCCCAAGCACTCGGGCCATGTCCCGTCCCTTTCCAGGCACGTTAGCAGGGTCCTGGATGGGAAGTGAAGCAGCTAGGTCTTGAACTGGTACTCATATGGGATGTCCGTCACAGGCTTAACCTGATGAGCCACAGCACAGGTTTCAGCACTTCTCTTTCTGCATCGAAGTTCTTCACCTGTGACCTGACACTGCCTCATGTGGCCTGGGACCTGCAAGGACTCCTCTCCCCGCGCCCTGGGTGGCCTGTGGATAGGCAGCGCTGGCATGCCTGTCCTCTGTTCCCACCGCACCTGGCCCAGAGCTGGGCTGAGACCAAGCCGGTGTTCAGCATCCCTGGTTGGTATGGGGCCACCTGTGGAGAGCTTGAGGTGGTGCTCATGCGACAGCGAAAACTCTCAGCTGGGAGTCAGAACCCCTGGGTGGCCATGTCGCTTTTGTTGGCTGTGAGGCCCCTGGGTGTGTCACTAACCCTCTCTGAGCCTTTAAAGAATGATTCATAACAGTTCCTCGGATGCACAGGTCACCGTTCACAGAGTAGTAATGACACACACATTCTCCATTGGTTACTGTAATTGTCAGTTCGGGATCGACAACCATTCCCATTTTACGGTAGGGAAACTGAGGCTTAGAGAGATCAGCTGCTCAAGCTCACCCAGTGGAGGGGCTGGAATGCAGACTTGGATCCCTTGCGACCCCAAAGCCTATGCTCCTCACTTCTTCCTTCTGGTTCTAATACTTCACCAACCCGGCCAGGCCTAGTCCAGAAGCAGTGAGGTGTTCTTTCCTTTTTAAGGCCTGGGGCAGTCAGGAACATGGACTCTGGGGCTAGACTACCTGGCTAAGTGCCTCGGTTAACCGCCACCCCTATCCTGCCAGCTGCAGGCCTTGAACAAATAACCTAGTCTGTCTCGGCCTCATTTGCTCATCTGTGAAATGGGCTAGTTGGCAGCCTCACTCCCTGAGATGTTCTGTTGGAACTCAGTATGTCGAGAAGAGCCTGTGGCAGAGCCAGGGTGACATGGGTGCTCCTTGAGCCGTGCTGGTAGTTGGCTCCTTCAGAAGCTGCTGCTGCTGTCCCCTGTGGCTCGGGGTCCAGCCCAACATCTGCCTCAGAATTAACTCCTCTTCGACTGCAGCCTGCAAGCCACAGGCAAGGGGCAGCTCTGGCTTCCTGGCTTCCTGGGCCCTTGGCCCTGCTGTGCCCTCTCTCACAGGGGTTTCTCTCTGCAGGCAGGATGGCCCACTCCGTGCAGCTGCAGGGCCCCCAGCAGCGGTCTGAGCCCGGCACCAGCATCCAGCTCACCTACAGCTCCAGCAGAGTGCAGACACAGCATGTTACTGTCACCTGGTTTAAGAACAGCCTCGAGCTCCCCAGATCGCAGACCAGCATCCAGCCTGTTGGGGACACCTACAATGTGACCAGCAGCGTGCTTGTCCCTCTCCTGGCGGGCGACGCGCTCTCCCTCGTCCTCTGCCACGTCAAGCACAAATCCACCCTGGTCTTCCAACAGTCTGTCTACCTGAACCACTACCTCCGGGGTAAGCTCTTTCTCTGTTGGGCCAAGCTAGTGCCGAGCTGGGTGCTTCTCTGAGCTTTGATTTTTTCATTGAAAGAAGTGTAGCTCTCACTCGGCTGAGGCAGGGACCAACACCTGTTGGGTACTTGACAGCTCAGGGTACTCAACCCAGTTTTGGTAGAGTACTTGAACACAATAGCTGTAGAGTGTTCAGCTCTATGTCTGAAGCGTACTTAACACAGTACCTGTGGTGTACTTAACACAATACCTGCAGGATACTTAACACAACACTCACAGGGTACTTAACAGCTCCAGGGTACTCTGCACTACACCTACAGGGTATTTAATACTACATCTGCAAGATACTAACATGTGCAGGGTTCTTAGCACAAACCCTGGAGGGTACTTAGCACGTCTGCACGGTACTTAATACAGAGCCTCGCCCACACCACTCAGAAGTTACAGCTTGCTAATTAACCCTCTTCATGTTGCCTCTCAGATGATTGCTCTTCCTGTCTGTAAGCTGGAGACAGCTTCTCCTCGGAGAACTTAGCTGCATTAATGCTGTTTTACATGAAGAAGAGTGAAGGGCTTGGCAGGCTTCTAACTTTTAGGGATTGTGATGTCTTTAGATCTTTAGTCGTTTCTGGAATAAGTCTTTGGTTGCTTTCCCTGGGCTGGCAGATCTGAGGGTTCTGTGAGGTCAAGAACGCATTACGCCCAGAGGGGACATTAGCAATCATTCCATAGCCAAGGGCCACCCTAAAGAAGGCGAGTGAGGCCTTTACATGCCTATTGCACTTTAAAATTGACACAATGTTTTCTGCTTCACTTTCTCCTCCACAAGTTAGGGAAGAGGTGCACTGTGTGACTATGGAAGTGAGCCCATCCTTTTACCTGAAGGAAAATATCGATAGTAAAGCTTGAATGAGCCCAGTGCAGTCAGTAACACACAGTCACTTAGGGTAAGGTGCACCCATGTTGTCTCCTTCAGGGCTGCCAGAAGAAACTGGGGCCCAGAGACGGGAAAGTTGCATGAGTCAGGCTCTCCATGCTGCTAGCTGCACCTGCACCTGCTACGAGCTCACCTCCAAGCCACTTTCCTTCGCCCAGCCTTGAGATATTTGGGTTAAAATAGAAAATGGGCAGTTATTATTTGAAGGATAGAGGCAGAGATCTTCTGCCTGCTGGGTCACTCCTCAAGTACCCATATTGGGCCAGGCTGAAGCCAGGAGCCTGGCACTCAATCCTGGTCTGCCTTGGGGTGACAGGGACTTGAGCCATCACGTGCTGTCTTCTAGGGTGTGCGTTAGCAGGAAGCTGGACTTGGAAGTGGAAATAGAACTCAGGAAGGTGCACTCTGATTTGGAATGAGTGTGTTAACCACTAGGCCAAAATGCTGTGTAGTCAGGACAGGTGTATGGAGAAGCAGAAGTCATTGCAAACATAGTGACAAGTGAGTGATTATTCATAAAATTAGCACACACTCCTTGGCCCCCTTGCCAGCACTGCCTCCTGCCAGGTCGTGTCTTCCATCCCACATGACTTTTGTGGGGGGTCTTTCTTGTGGTTCCCTTGAAAGTAGAGCCTGAAGCCAAGACTTGTGGGTTGGAAAGTGATGCTGAGAGGAGTGTGATGGGGAGAAAGAAGGGAGGAAAGGCAAGGGGGAAGCCACTGAGGGTACCCCCTGGGCTGTGGTTAGTGGGCTTCAGCCTCCTGAGCGATGGGTGGGTAGACAATGCCTCAGAGGGCCCCATGCAGGAGGTGGGGCTGGGGGTGCCAGCAGATCTGTGTGGTTGTAGGGAAATCTGAGGTCAAGAAGCAAGCAAGTGTGAGAGCCAGAGGAGGGATTCCGCTTGGGTGTGGCCCCAGTGGCAAGGCTGTCTTCTGGCTAGGAGGGTCATGGCACAGTGTATGGAGCTGGTTGCCACCCCATTCTATACAAATAGAATTCACTTCCATTGCAAAGGAACACCGGACATCTAGCAACACTCTTGTGTGAAAAAGTTGATGCAGATGATATTGTTGCGGGTGGAGGGGCACAGGAGAAACCACCGAGCAGCTAAGTGTGGAAGAAGCACAGTGGGTGTTTGATGCAGTGGTCAAGGCACTGCTTGAGACCGCTTCATCCCCTCTTGAGGGTCTAGATTTGAGTCCCAGTTTCTGATTCAGCTTCCTGCAGGTGCACACCCTGGAGGGGTGACAGGTGATGATTCAAATAGTTGGGTCCCTGACCCTCACATGGGAGGCCCAGATTGAGTCCCAAGCTTCTGCCTTCAGTCTAGCCATCCTGGCTGTTGTGGGCATTTGAACAGTGCACCAGCTAATGGAAGATCTCTGTCTCCCTGCCTTTCGAATAAATAAAGATAGTTAAGTTATTTGTAAAACCATAGAAGAATAAGGAGGAAAAAAATCTGTGGTGATAATAATACTATGGGTACTTTATGGAAAAAACATTGTGAGTAAAAGGGGGGCTTTGTGAAAATTGATAGAGCATTTGAAGAATTTCTAATAATTTTCCTAAAGTATCTTTTAATGGTTGTGCTGTGAATGTGAAATTTGAGGTGAAGGATTGGTTGGTACCATAGCACAAGTTTGCAGGAGAAAATGATATCAGCTTCCTTCTGCCCCCAACACTTGTTCTGTTTGACGCATAGCTGTAATTATAGCCTATATTGAATTAAAAGTACAAATGAAATGGAATTGTCTTTATAATTTAAATGTGTTTCAAGACGAGTTCCAACCAATTGTCTTGATCATTTCTATGAAATTGGGGCTTGGTTTTGTATTTGCTTTTTGCTGTTCCTATGGCAAATGATTTCTCTGTGTTTACTGCACTAGCTTTTGTAAAGAGTAAATAAGAAAGTGCATGCACAGTTCCTTAAACACTGCCTTGGAGTACAACAGATGCAGTTGTTTCCAGTTGTGCCCAGGCCTCTGTCCTCCCAGCACCGTGTTAGAGAGCTGGGATGGGCCACCAGAGCCCTCCACTCCATGTTTTTCCCATGGCACCTGCTTGGTGGCACCTCTCCCCAGCTGGCTGTGCATCAGGCCTTTGTCATTCTGGACCCTCCCTTCTCAGATCTCTGCTCGGTGGGAATCCCTGTGCTACCCTGGACGGGAAGGACGGAGCACAGCGAGCGAGATTCAGGGGATCATGTTGTCCCTGAGCTGTCCAGCCCCTCAGCAAAATCACATGTCTGAGTGGGCTGAGGGTGAAGAAAGGATGTTTGGAGATCAGAAGCCTTTAGTTTCTTCCAATTGCACGACATGCAAATTGCTCTTTCTACCACAGACCAAGAGGTGGGATCTGTATAAATTAGACCCACGAGAACTCATCTGACCTTAGAGGATTTCATCATTTCCATCTGGAAAGACAGAGTAGAAGTGATTTGTGCCAAGTCTTGCTGTTGACCGTGGTGTCAGTGCAGTGACCAGAATCTAGGTCTCCTGGCCCTTAGCCTGAAGTTTGTCCTGCTGAGTGTTTATAGGAAGTCCACTGGTACTGATGGAAATCCTTCTTATAAACAGTTTGGATTGCACAGCTGGAAAAAAAAATTTTTTAATCTAAAAGTTGTTAGGTTTTAATGTCAGAAGTCCAGAGTCAAAAATGCATATTGCTTTACAGTTTGGGTGTCAGAATAGCATAAAGCAAAAAACATTGCCTGTAGTATAATCCCAGGTTTGCCACTTGTGGCCTTGGGCAAGCAACCCATCCTCTCCAAACTCAAATCCCTTCACAGGTAACGTCTTTGTATCTTGGAGCAGAATCTAAGAACCTTCACATCTTAGAATAATTGAGGCATAGAGTGAGCTTACTGATTTGAAATGAATTAAATGATATTCATACCTCATCTTTTCATCTTTCATGGGCAAAGTGGAAAAGGAAGTAATGGGGAGGTTAGCCTTCACCAGTCCTGTGCATTCTTCTGTCTACTCCTCCGCCACTCCGACTTGCTTTCATTTATGCTCTCATGCTCTTGTCCAGTTGTATGTCTCCTCTGCAAGCTGCGGTTCGCCAGTGCCCAGATCCCCCCCGGGCAGCTCTGGCCTTGCCCAGCAGACTTCTCATGGTAACTGCTTTCTCTGGATTTTGTTAGTTTCCCCTGCAGTGACCGTGTCCCAGTCTTCCACTTCCTCCGGCTTGGTGGCTGTCACCTGCCATGTGCAGAGATTCTATCCTCAGAGTGTGTATGTCACCTGGCTGGAGGACTGCCATCCACAAAATGGAACCAAACAACCCGTGTCCAAGATGAACCAGGACGGGTCCTACAGCCTGGAGAGCTCGTATCTGGTGAACATGTCGGCACAGAGAACAGAGCGTGTGTTCACCTGCAGGGTGCAGCACGAGGCCCAGTCTCCCATCCAGGCCAGCCTCATCCTGTCCACAGCAGCACACACCCCCTTGAGCTCAGGTGAGGTCCTCTTGGTGAGAATGATGCCCAGAGACAGGGCGCGGAGGGGAAGCGTGATCATTGCTGCTGAGGTCTTGGCCACCTTAACAGTGTGCAGTTCTCTGAATCACCAGAACAGTTTCTGGCCAGGGGCTTCCTGCAGGGCTGGTCCTCTTGGAAGTTTGTGATCCCAGCACCCTTGACAATGCCTGTGAAAGTGAGGGCGCCCTCACTTGCTGGGATTCTGAGATGGTTGCCACCAAGGCTGTCTTATTCTAAATGATCTTTGTGAAAGATGTAATGGCAATCTTGCCTGTACATTGACTTGTTCCCGTTTGGGGTTGGGGGTGTACATAATGATAATATAGGCTTTTCTGGTTAATTCAGGCACTTAACCCTCTGTACCCCAGTTTGTTCATCCATAGAGGATCTAAAGGAAGTTCATAAATCATAGAGTACTTCTGGGGTCTAAATGAATTAATCTACATAACTCATGACCCTACAAACATATAAGAAATCCAGCTACTGTCACATTTGAATTCTAGTGGCATGATTTTTAACTTCCAGTAATTACAGTTTTGTAAACTTAGCCAACTAAGTCCATTATGTGTCAGAGCCTCAGTTTACTCATCTATAAAATGGGGCCAATTATAGCAACCTCCTAGGATTGTAGCAAAGCTTGCACCTGACAGTCACAAGGGCTTGAGCTTAGACTGTGATGGAATTGGGTGCAACTTGTGCGTTCTGGGACTTTCCAACCTCAAGCATTGAAATATACTTACTGGCTCCTGTCCTGTGGCATTTAGGTCTGGAAATGCCTGCCATCATCTTTGTGGCTTTGCTCCTGGGCTTCAAGGTCTTGCTGGTGATCAGTTTCACAGTCACATACATCTGCAAGTGGTGGCACCTGTGACAGGTAAGGTCAAGGTGGGCCTTACTCCTTAGGGAGGAAGGTCAGGGCCATGTTTGTGAGCTGGCCAGGCGAGTCCAGGACATACAGTGTCCCTGGAGTGATGCAGCCTCTAGAGAAAATTCTGCATTCTCCTGCCTTGCCTGATTTCTTTTGGAAGCCTCAGAACTTCCCAACTCTGTGTGCTGTGCAGTACCCTGGGCTTAGAAGATTTTCCAATTCAGGACCTTGGTACCCTGAAGATGGACATCCAAGGTGTGGGGATGGGATCAAGGTCAAGACCCAATCTCTGAAAATTCTGTATGCTGTTAGGCATTTATGTATTCCTGTTGATTATCTTTGAATTAATAAAGGAAAGTACTGCTAAAATCTACTCATACAACTATTGAAGAGGCACACAGATATGGAATGGTCACAAAGATGAATGTGGATATCAGAGAGAGTTTAGAACCCAGACAGTGAGCGGTAGATGCTTTGCTTCTAGTCTGTACCATGAACTTGGCCAGTGAACCAATAATAAGTAGTAAATAAGTAAATGTCCAATAAGTACATGGCACTATGAGCTGGCATGCAGTAAGTGCTCAACCAGTACTTGTGGCATGAATACACAAGTGAATGAGTGAATGGGGTACCTTTTTTCCTATAACTCTTATAGATCCTGGAATATGTTATCTTCTGGCCTCTCCAGTGGGCTCAAGTGGGAAGAAACAGCTAGCAGGGACCCACAGGCGTCCAAGACCCCTGGCCATTAATGTGCCATCCCCCATGGACATGCTTGCTTCCACAACCCCTCCTGGTCCTACTCCCTTAGATTTGGAGCCCAGTTAGATATGAGGCCCCAGGGATATCTTGGTCCTGATACATTGGGCTTCACTCCACTCAAGAGAGAATTAATCTGCTTGCTCAATGACAGCGCTTGTTCTTCAGAGCACTTTTCATCTTGCATCTGGTGGCTTTCATAGGCATGATTTCATTCCAACACACGTTAAATTTGAAATCGTTAAAATAGTGAACAAGCATTTCTTTACTCTGAATTCTATAAAATATCATATAAAATATCACCTTTTGCCATTGTGTTCTTTGGTTTCTTCTTAAAAATATTGTCTGAAGTTGGTCATTCCTAAGCACAATCTTATACTTCTATAATATATGGATAAACCCATAAGTAATACACAGTGTTACTAGCATGTTTTAAATTTTATGTGTTAGTATATTGTGCACGGCATTCTGGTTCTTTTTTATGCATAACAGTTTGTGGAATTTATTCACATTGATATGTGTAGCTCCATTGGATTAATGTTTCACTACTGTGTGGTCTTCTGTTGCAGGCATACAGCACCATGTATAGATTCTTGTCGTGATGGATGGTGAAGCTTTCTTCATTGTCTTACTAGTACTTCCTGACCTTCTGTCATTTGTCTCCCTGAGTACTTGTGGGAGAGTCTCCTGGTCCCATTAGTATTGTCCACAAAGCAACAGTGTTGTTAACATTTGGGAGCTCTAGTTACACAAATTGCTTTCAAGTGTTGCCTTTTTTTTTTTTTCTGGTGAGTGAGCAAGTGAGTGAGGTATGTATGTGCTACAATCGGGAGAGGTCTTTTTTCCTGCAAAGATACATTATTCAGCACTCCCTCATAATGCATTTCTGTCTTTGCCATTTATCGAATTTCTAGAAATCTGAGCTCTTTTGATGATCTCTTTGTTCCACAAATCTACTTACCTATCCCTTTGTCAGTCCTGCACACTCCTAGTTTGAATAACTTTGTAATAAGTTTTGCTACCCCTTTTGAACAAATCATCTCACTTTTTCTTATTCAAAATTGTCTTGGTCCAAATGTATTTTAAACTTGCTCTGTCAAATTTCATGAGAACCCATTTTAAATGATTTGATGGCATTGAATTTATACATTAATTTGGGCAAATGGATCTCTTTCCAATATCTTCTCATTGATTGGCATGGCATACCTCTTTTTATTTAGGTTTTCTCTTGTATAATTTTCAATTTATAATTTTGCAGTCCCCCCATAATGGACTTATGCATCCTTGGAGCTGTTTTTAATACTTTTTAGTCTATGAAACCTCTAAAAATCATTATTGCTTTATTTCAGTGGCTTTCAACTGCTGAATAGGACTGACATTGGGTTTTGAACATCAATCTTATATCTAGACAGCTTATAAAAATTCTTCTGCTATTGCCAATAGTATGGGTAGTCTTTTATGTGTAACTCCTTTACATCAACCTAATGGTCTAAAATTTGTTTTGACCTGTATCAGTGTTCCATGTGCACACAGGGCAACAGTCACATTGTTCTGTAAGCTGCTCCATAGGAAACCTGGAGTCACTCACATCTGTGCCATCTTCCACTCCTGACATTACCATTTTCAGTTCTGCTAACTGATGTTTGTCACATCTTTTGCAACATACATGTTGCTGATTTTGATTTTTTCTTTCTGAGCCATTCTTCAACTTCCCACAACCCAGTGTGACATAATGCCCTACTGTTGACTTCATGTCACATGTGCGCCTGTTCTCTTCCCATCACCCTATTGTGATTTATCATAATTTGGGGCAACGGAATAGGCAGCGTCTACATTGTAATGACCATGTGTATGCCATTTATTGTCAAGCCCGGTGCTAGTCCCAGCTCCTGCTTAGGTTGGGCCTTTCATACGTGTCCTTACATGACCACAGTCAAGTACCCTACAGGACAATGCCATCCATGATCCTAACGGTCTCCCTGTGCTTTGTTTCTTAATGATCTCCCATTCCCACCATCCCCAGTCCCTGGCAAATACTAATCATTTCTTTGTTTATGTCACGTCAACACTTTTAAATGAAGACACTCAGACAGGATGTAACTTTTTGCACTCAATGCCTCAAGACCCTTACAAGTCATCACAAGCGATTCATTCCTCTTCATTGTTAAGGAGTATTGCATCAGATGGTTATGCAGTTTGCTTTATTATTCACCCATTAGATGTTTTTGTTGTTTTCAGCTTTCTGTAACTACAAAGAAATCTGCTATAAGCATTTATTCACAGACTTTTCTGTGTACATAAGTTTTCATTTTTTCTGGGGGAAAATGGGGGAACAATTGTTAGATCATGTGTAATAAAGTATGTCTTAGATTTTTGAGAAATTGCCAGACTACTTTAGACTGACCATGCCAGTTTGCATTCCCGCCTACCATCAATGAGAAATGGCCCTTCTGCACGTGCTAGCTGGCATTTTGTAGCATCACCATGCTTTATTATCACCATTTGATTAACTACATAGCAGTATCACACTGTGGTCTTCATTTGCATTTGCCTGATGGCAGTGATGTTAAACATCTTTTCATGGTTTGTTTGCTATTTGTATATCCTTGTTGGTGAAATGTCTCTTTATGTCCTTCGTCCAATTGCAATAAGAATTCTTGTCTTGTTTTTCCTGCATGCTTGCTGCTAAGTTGTAAGAGTTGTGTTACAGATGTGAGGCCTTTGTTACATGTGTGGTTGGCAGATACTTTCACCCAGTCTGTAGCTTTTATTCCATGCCTGGACCTGACCTTTTGGACAGTATAAAATTTTAATTTCCAATTTATCAATTTAAAACATTGATCATGTTTTTGATGTCATGTCTATGAATCTTTCACCAAGCCCCAGATCTTGAAGATGTTTTCCTGTATTTGCTTCCAAATATTTAATGTTTGTCTATTTTACATTTGTACCTATGGTTAATTTTGAGATTTTTTTTTTATCTAAAATGTGAGATTTAGGTTAGTGTTCATTTTTTGTGTTGAGTAATAACCAGTTCCTTGTGTTCAGAAAGCTTTCTTGGGTCCAGTGTTGTGGGACAGCAGATAAACCTGTTGCCTGGAACGCTATAGCATTCCATATGGGCATTGGTTTGAGTCCCAGCTGCTTCACTTCTGATGCAGTTTCCTGTTAATGTGCCTTGGAAAGCGGTGAAAGATGACTGAAGTCTCTGAACACCTGCACCCATGTAGGAGACTGGGGAAAAGCTCCTAGCTTCGGTTAGGCCCAGCTCTGGCCATTGCAATTATGTGGGGAGTGAATGAGCAGATAGGAGATATTTCCCTCCCTCGCTCTCTCCGTTTCCCTCTTCTCTCTATCTTCCCCCCTTCCTTCTCCACTCTCCCTCCCACCATACAAAAATGAAAAAATTACCACAATCTTTCAAACAAACAAATAAAACAAACCTCTCTCTTTAAAAAAAAAAAAAAAAAAGGCTTTCTCTTTTAAGGAATGAATTCCTCCTGTTGAATTGCTTGGCCTGTTGGAGAAAGCTGTCAGTTTGGAACTTTTTTTCTGAGTTCTTTGTTGTTTTCCATTGGTCCGTGTGTCGTTCACTTGCCACTGCCATGCACTTCTGACCACTGCATCTGAACTAGGCTTAAAATGGAGTGCAGTAGCACTCCCATTTTCTTCTGTTTTCAAAATTGTTTTACACTCACCTCTCTCTCCTCCTAGTCTGTCTGTATACATGTTTGAATACTTTCGTCTATACCTACAAACCTATGGCTGAAATGTTGGTAGACATTGGGTGTACCAAGACCCATGTGGAAAAGCAATCCCTGGGTCACTTTCAAAAAGTGAGATAAACAAGACAACTTGCTCCAAATCTTATCTGACAGAGTGTTACAGGAGGGAGAAATTCCAGCTACATTTCTTCCAGATTTTTGCCTCAATATGTGAAAGAATTCAAGGAGGAGACACAGATGTGCAGGAGAGCAAGGTTTATTTAGACACATAGTATAATGGGAACAATATGGTGACATATCATTGCTAATCTTCAGCCTGTGGTGCCAGTAGCTTATATAGGTACCAGCTTGTATTCCAGTTGCTCCATTTCTGATCCAATTCCATGCGTATAGCCTAGGAAGGCAGTGTGGATGGCTCAAGTCTTTGGGCCACTATACCCATCAGAGACCTAAAGCAAGTTGCTGGCTCCTGGCTTTGAATCAGGTCATCTCTAGCCATTGTAGCCATTTGGGAATGAACCACTAGATGGGAAAATCTCTCTGTCTTTCCTTCTCTGTGGATTTACCTTTCAAATAAAACTAAGTAAATATTTCCAAAAAAGTAGGGGCGGGTTGGAGAGGAATATTACACTCTCAGACACAGGTGAGGTAATCTCTGAGAAAGCTGAGTGTTGACATTTACAAGAATGGGGCAATATGGGGTCAGGGCCTAACTGAATATTCAAAGGAGGCGTGGTTAGTGGTGGGACTGCTGCAAATGTGGTGACCTCTAAGATAGTGTCAAAGCATCCATTGCATGGTGGGAAATGAGGCTAAGGTGCATGATGGGGAATGTGTGTCCTGAGCCTGTAGCCATGTTGGACTGATATGGAAGAGTGTAGGGGGTTTGGGCACTGTGCATGTGTGGGCAGGTGCTGGCAGTCCTCGGGTTTTCTTCAGTTACTTCCCCACCAAGCCCAAGAGCAATCTAGATCTCGAGTTATTTAATGTAGAGACTGGAGATTATAGTCAAACTGAGAGCTTTCTGGCACTTAACTAAGCCTTCAGCAAAAGCCCATTGTGCAGTGTCCTTCCCAAGAGGGAATTAATAAGCAGTTGGAGAAACACAAGCTAATCTGCTACCAATGAAGTGACAACAGCTCTCTAGAGGAGATCTTATGAGACCAGCAGAAAATCCCCCAAAGAAATTTCTCTGTCATTGTGTCTGAACTAAGCACAAAAACCCCATTGATCAAGGAACTAAATGGTAACGGCGTTAAATATTGGGGACTTCCGTGGTGACTCCAGAGCCTGAAATCAGCCAGGATGCTGTCCCTGCTGTGAAGAAGCACTGCATGGAGTATGGCCTTTCAAACACTTCAACCATGATCAAGGATGCAACATTCACGGACAAGGAAAACTGTGCTGTAGTTTGTGGAGGAGCCTTACATCTTAGGGCAACTGTGAACAGAACAGTGAATGAGCCTACTGTTTTATTCTCCTCCTTGTAAAGGACATGCAGTGTGGGAATGGAATGTCCCTCCTTATCGATAATCAAATCTGTTATTATGTCAGCTGTTATTCAGTTTTTCAGCAAGGTAGGCTTGGGTTTTCAATGTAATTTATTATACAGACATGGATCTGTAGTGATTAAATCTGAGTCAATGGAAGCATTCCTGCAAGCAGAAAAGAGTAAGACGCAGTGTACTACACACACCGTTAAAAATGTGTAAACCTCTGGCCACTGACCAGGTAGTTGTTGGTTTAAATCCTAAGTTTGCCTAGTGAGATAATCTTTAAGTTTGATTTTTTTTTCAAAGTGGCTCTGATTATTTCTGCCAACAATGTGAAAGAATAAGCCGAAACCAAGTTGCATTCTTACCCTGTTACTGAACAGAAAACAGCAAAACCAAGGATATACTCCAGTTTGTTTCGGGGAGGAGCTAATCCCTGACAAAGTAAGCAAAGAAGTTATCACCTTCTCAACCATGCCTTAGACCTAAACGTGCAGAAGACTACAACAATCAAAATTCAGAAGCCATGAGTTCTCATTGAGCAGTTGGCAGCTGAAATTCAGCCAACCCAAGCAGCCCTAGCCAAAGAAAAGATAAAACGAGGATAAATCTAACAACAGCTTTCAACCATAAGCATGGACTTTGAACTTTAACTTGAGAAAAAAGCCCTTTCCCGAACTATTTCTTGAATGGTAACAGTTCCCAAAACTCAAGCTGGTGACACAGTCACTGATGGAAAGGAACCCCAAAGGGAGTTCAAACTAATTTAAGTGTTAAAAAGATGACAAGAGCAAAGGAACAACAACAACAAAATGACTAGAAGAATGGCAGAAATCTGAGTGGCCTCATAATAAATGTCCAAGAAAAATAAAAGAATTGAGTATTACATTCTAGAAAACCAGTGGAAAAGAAGACATGGGGGGAAAAAGCACAACCTGACTTACCCAATAGAATTGAGAACTCTGGGGCAGAATGTTGGTAACTCATGGAATGGGGCACTTTCTAATAAAGTATTTAACGTGTTTTCCAATACTCCTGAGGCTGAAAAATTGCTGAAATGGTGGATCTGTAAAGTTGTTAGCAAATAAAGTGAAGTTACTGGATGAATGGCGTAAAGCAACCACTAAAAATGGGGCAACAATGAAATAAGCATTGCCAGAGGTAGTGGTGAATATTTTGTAAGATCCAGAGAAACCACAGAAAAAAAATTCCTCTGTGTCTTTAGTTTCTGAAAATAAGAATCAAACCAGGGACCCCATGTGATGGCAAAGACTAAATCCTCGTCTTACTAGAGACCATATGGTCACTGGTTCATATCCCAGCTGCTCCACTTCCCATCTAGCTCTTCGCTTATGACCTGGGAGATTAGTCAAGGATGGCCCAAATAAAAATTATTTATTTTATTATTTTATGATACAATTCACAGGCTCTTGGATTTCACTTCTCCCCTCCCTGACTCCACCTGCCACATTAATTTTCCCTATATTATTGCAATAGTATAGTCCTTCATAGACAGTCATAAGTCCATCATTCTGCTATTTCAGTGTATCCTGATATTACGGTATGGACAATGGAAGAGTCCAGCAGCTTATTGTTAAGATATATTTAATAGTTTCATGAGTCCATTTTTGATTTGGAAGTAGAAATGCATAGTGCACTGCATCTTCAAATCTGGATATGATAGTCTCTATTACACAGTTACTACATCCCCTTGAATGAAAAGCCATAAAATAAACATAAATAAGTTTTTAAAAGAAAATCATAATGGTAGGACAGCTGGCCAGGGTGGATCTGAACAGAGAGGTATCCTAAAATGGTCTAGAGTCATCATCCTAGGACCAAGCTACAGATTGTTCCATCCCTAGAATAAATCAAGGGGAAGACATTGTGGGCTTGGAGCCCATTACTCCTGTGTGGTGCTCAGGCTAGTGTCCCCAGAAATCCTACAGCACAAAATGGAATGAAAGTTTCTCATGACAAACTCCAAAGGTGGAGAAACAAAGAGTTTTATATTCAGTAAAAAAGAGTTTTTGCCTAGAACACTAAGGTTTCAAATTCTTAAATTATCACTTTTTGATTCTTTGCAAAAAAAAATATTTTTTTGATCTATTTGAAAGGCAGAGTGCCGGGGAGAGACAGAGAAGGGAGGAACTCTTCCAGCTGCTTAATTTTGTTAAAGAATTCTTTTCAGAGACCGAGAGAGAGAGAGAGAGAGAGAGAGAGAGAGAGAGAAAGAGATCTTATATCTACTGTTTCACTCCCCAAATGGCTGCTCTGGCAAAAGTTGTGCCAAGCTAGAGCCAGGAGCCTGAAACATCATCAAGGTCTCCCACATAGGTGATAGGGCCCAAAGCACTTGGACCATCTTGTGTTGTGTTCCTGGGCACAATTAACAGGGAGCTGGGTGATATCAAGCAGCTGGGACTGCAATTGGTGCTCCATTGTGGAATGTGTCACCTTAACCCACTTGGTGACAACATTGATCCCTCTTGATTCTTTTTTGAAGAAAAGAAAAAAAAAATGGAGGAGGAAAGACAAAAGAGGAGAAAATAAAAAGTTCAATAAGAAAAGAAACCCTGCTCAGGCACAGCAGCAGACTCAGCTCCTACAGGACTGGGTGTGGCTGAGGACTGGGCTGTGCAACTTCAGATAAAGGAGCTCCTCCTGTTTTCCTCAAAACGTTTCCCAGGGAACAGAGAACCACAGACACGCATCCTATGGTTACGTGTGTGGGTGTTTCCTCAGACTTCTTCCAAGATTTTTTCTTTGCCTTTGACTTTTTTGGATTTTGAATAGAATGAGCTTATATCTAGTATTTCAATATTTCCCGCCCCCCTGCATTGATCATTATGATCATTATAGGTGCTGCTGGGCCATCTCCATCTGTGATTAGGTGTCTGACATCCTTTGGGGAAAATTCTGTCAGTACTGTTTTGAATATTCTGCTTTTTTCTCTTCTTCTGATATGCTCACATCGCTTTCATCATCCACTACTTGAGGATGCTCTCAGATGTTTCCAGTCTTTTCTCTCTTTGCATTTTCAGTTTTGTGGTTTTCTGCTGTTTTGTCCTCATGCTCAGAGATGCTGTCCCTCCCATGCCCCATTCCAGGCACTCCTCACTTCTGCTCTGGGCTTTTGATTCCCACCATGTCTATTTTCTTTCTTGCCTTAGAATTTCAGCTTCTCAGATCTCATTTTTCCACTGTTCCAGCCTGTTTTCTACTTTTCCTTCCAAAGCACTTTGCATGTTAATTGTGGGATTTGTTTGTTTTTGTTTGTTTTAAGTTCTGGTCTGTCAATTGCAACATTTCTGCCTTAGATTACTTTGGTTCTGGTTCCTGTTCCATGTTCCCATGGTGTTTTGTTACTTTTCAAAACCCTCGTCATGTGTCCTAATAGCTGGAGTTGACATATGTGCTAAAGCTAACTGCCATCAACAGGCCTTCTGTGGTGTGGTGGGGAGGAGGGAGCGTCCAAAGTTCATGACTAGGGCTTTTGGTGACCAATGTTCTGTGAATGTCACAAGGGCTCCACCAGGTTCCCCACTCTACCCTGCAACCTTAGAAGGAGCTAGATGACTGGGGGAGCTGGAGTTGTGAAATTCCTAGCGCCCATGTGCAAGAATAGGAGGATATAGTGCCTTACTGACTCCTTGGCACTTGCTTGGGTCAGGGTCTTCGTCCTTACTGTCTCCTCAATTCTTATTGGCACACAGTGGTGACTGGAATGGTCGCTACCACAGGGGTCTGGTCCAGAGCAGACCTGGTTCTTCTCCCATACTGAGCAGGTCCTGGGGTCCCTCTTCCTGCTGCTAGCTTATAGGGAGTCCCTGTTGAAGCTGGCACAGAGCCAAGCCACAAGCCAACCACATTCCAGGCTTTGGGAGTTGGGGACACAACTTACACCAAAATCCTTCTCCACCTGGGACTCCCAAGTGGGAAATCAGCAAGAGGACTTCAGGATGCCTCAGAGGACCAAGAGGAGGAGGTTCAAGACCCAGGCAAGAAGGAAGCATTGCTTCTTCTGGACCTGTCCCAATCTCTCTAAAAATGGACAATGAGCAACTTCTAGCCTCGTGGCAGGAAGCTGATTGCTATTGGGGGCACTTCCTCTTGGGGTGTGGCAGGCACAGCACTCTTCCCTCCCCAGAGTAGCCCAGGATCCCTGCCAGCACAGACATTCGGACCAGGCAGGTTCCTCAGGTCTGCGCCATGCCTGCCCCTGCCTCCCAGCCCCGCCATCCTCATCATATCCTGCTGCTGACTCTGCTGCTGACTCTGCTGCTGAAACTGACAGGTGAGTCCTGCTGGGGAGCACATGAATTACCCTACCTCCCCGAGCTTCTGGGGATTCCAGACAGCTAGTGCTGTGAAAGGCCTGGGGCTGGGTATTGCTGAGGTCAGAGAAGGTGGGCTTGGAGCATTTTCTCTATAGCAATGGCCAGAGCATCAAGGCAGAAATGCTGAAGCCATGGCAATAGTAATTATTACTTAAATTCCCACCACATTTTTATTGGCAGAACTATATCAGAAGAGTCATCATTTCAATCCTCACAAGGCACGAGGCCTCAAGAGGCTATGCCACCTGCCCGTGGCCACAGAATGAGCTCAGAGGCAGCTGCCAGCACTGCATGGCTCCCGGCCAGGGATTTGCTTCCTGTAGTCTGGGAAGCCCCTGCTCACAGCTCCCAGACACCCCTCCTCTCCTGTGCCATGGTGCTGACCCCAGGACGCCGGCTGCTCCCAACATGGGGTTTTCTGTAATGCCACCTCTCCTGTCCAAGAGAGCAGGAGTCTAGCTTCACAGAGTGTCCCTGTGACACACGCTGCATGAAGGACGGTGGCAGGGGCTCTGTGGTGGGGCTGTTCTGGCAGGACAGGCTTATTCTTCAGCACTCTGTGGTGAATGCAGCTCAACCTCACAACCTTCCTGAGTGCTTTATGGAGAAACAGAGAGAGGAACAAGCTCAGGGTCTCCTCTCTCCATCAGTGGAGCCGCCAAGAATGAAACACAGGCTGAACAAGCTCTCCTCTCCTCTCCTCTCCTCTCCTCTCCTCTCCTCTCTTTTCCAGGAGCCAGGAACTTCTTTCGGATCTCCCACGTGGGTGCAGGGTCCCAAGGCATTGGGGCTGTTCTCAACTGCTTTCCCAGGCCACAAGCAGGGAGGTGGAGGGGAAGTGGAGCTGCCAGGATTAGAACTGACACCCATATGGGATTCCAGCATGTTCAAAGCGAGGACCTTAACCATTACACTATCATGCCGGGCTCTCATTTATCAATTTCTAAGAGCTGAGTATTGGACTCGGTGCAATAGTTAGTGGCTAAATCCTAGTCTTGCATACTCGAGGTCCCATATGGGTGTCAGTTCGTGTATAAGCTGTTCCACTTCCCATCTAGGTCGCTGCTTGTGGCCTGGGAAAGCAGTAGAGGACAGCCCAAAACCTTGGGACCCTGCACCCAAGTGGGAGACCCAAAAGAAGCTCCTGGTTTCTGGATTCAGATCAGCTCATCTCAGGCAGTTGTGGCCATATGGGATTTAATCAGCAGATGGAAGATCTTTCTATATCTCCATCTCTCTGTTATTCTGCCTTTCCAATAAAAATAATTTAAAAATCACTTTAAAAGAAGTGAGTATTTTAATTTCTTATTCGTTGTATTAGAGTTTCTTTGCCCAATTGTGATAAATGATCCTAAGACTGACACACACTTACTGATGTAAGAAGGTTCCCATGAGGATGGATAGATAAGGTCTCTGTCTCCTCCCCCAGCAGGGGCAGCAGAGGAGGAGCTGCAGGTGACTCAGCCTGACAAGTCTGTGTTGGTGAAGGCTAGAGACTCAGTGATCCTGCGCTGCATTGTAAACATCCTGGTGCCCGAGGGGCCCATGAAATGGTTCAAGGGGGCTGGGCCAGGCCGGAAGATGATCTATGACTACAAGGGAGGCCAGTACCCCCGAGTCACAGCCCTCTCAGACTACACAAAGCAAAACAACATGGACTTTTCCATCCGCATCAGTGACATCACCATGGCAGACAGTGGCACCTACTACTGTGTGAAGTTCCAGAGAGTGGGTACTGGCGATGTGGAGTTTAAGTCTGGACTGGGCACACAGGTATCTGTGCGAGGTGAGTCCCATGGGCCTCCATCGGTTTCTAGGGGGGTGGTAATAGTCCCAGGTCCATAGTAACATCCTCCATTCTGTGGACAGCCCTTGGGAGCCAGGTGCAATGTGAAAGCTCATTGTCCTAACCTTCTACAGATGAGGAAAGTTGAGGCTGAAAAGGCTGTACTAGCTGCTCGAGGCTGTCCAGCTGGGAAATGGGACAGGGCCCTGGTATACAGGGCTCCCTGACCTGCCCCCCACTGTAGTCTAACCATACCAAGTCCCTTCCTGTTGGAGTGCCTGCTACATGCCTAACCCTTTCCTAGGGGTATCCTCACTCTGGTGATGGGAGCCCTGTCACTCAGCTCCTCCTCCTACTGCATCTGCCTGTGCTGTTTCAGTTCCTCCCATCGTGGAGGTCACACAGCAGCCCGTGGGGGCAGGGACCCAGGTGAATGTCACCTGCCACGTGGACAAGTTCTACCCACAGCGTGTGCGACTGACCTGGTTGGAGAATGGAAACGTGTCCCGGAAGCACTTGGCCTGGACAATAGTGAGGAACAAAGATGGGACCTACAATTGCACGAGCTGGATCCTGGTGAACAACAGGGAGGACCTGGTGCTCTCCTGCCAGGTGGAGCATGATGGGCAGCCAGCGGTCACCAGAAACCACAAACTGCAGGTCTTGGCCCAGCCCAAGGAGCCCGACTCAAACACCAACATCAACACCAGGAATGGTGAGGCCCCCCCTCTAGCAGGCCTGGCTGTTTTGAAATTTTATTTTAACCTTATTCTTTCTCAAAACATGTGAGAAGTAGTAATCTTGCTCATTGTAGAATTATCTAGATTATAGACATCAAGCAGAATTTTAAAGCCAGCTCCTGCCTCCAAATCCCATATTCCGAGAGCTACCATGGCTTAGAGTTTGGGACGTGTCATGTTGTCCTATTGGTGTTCTGGCATCAGCAGCTAGAGGAACTTATGTGAGTAGCAGGCGTTTCCTGGAGAAGCAGGAAGAGGCCCACTCAGATGTCCTGCCACTAGCATCTCTCAGGGCTTTGTAGACTCCCTCATGGAAACCGTGAGCCTCCAGAAATCTTTTCAGAGGTAGAAAATGTAGAAATTCAGTTTCCTTAATAGCATAAATTCTACATTGTGTTCATTTCCTATTAGATGAATAGTGATGGGTTGTGCTTGTTGAGGAATGGTTGGTTAATTGTATCAAACTTATCAAATTATTGTGTGTAGAACTGATCCCGTTATCCCCCTGTCATCCTTTCTGCATCTGTTGTGCCTGTAGTGATAGCCCCTGTATCATTCATGGTATTGGAAATGTGTAATCTTTCTTTTTGTACTTTGTTAGTCTGGCTAGAGGTTTTTCCATTTTTACTGCTCTTTTCAAAGGCCCAGCTCTCTGTTTCATTCAGTTTCTCTGCTGTTTCCTGTTTTCTAATTTCATTGGCTTTCTGCTCTTTCCTTTGCATTATTCCCTTTTTCCTGCCTCTAGGGTTTCTTTGCTGTTCTCTGTCCAGTTTCTTATGGTAGAGGCATGGGTCTCACTTGAGGGTTTCCCACATTTTCAGGCTACACCTCTGCAGCTGGGCCTGGAAGCTGGGTTTGGGGTTGGGATTTTGTCCTAAGGTGTCTGGCTGTAGTGTCATTGTCCAGGTCTCAGGTCTCTGCCTGTCTGTCTTCTTCCTCTACTGTTGAAATTTCCTTCTGCTGGCTTCTTGTAGTATTTCTAGGATTTTTAGTTGCCATTCACAGGAAAGAGTGAGGAGAAACGAATCTGCCCCACCTGAACTGACTAACAGTCTTCTTTTAGTCTTGCCTTTTAGTCTTCTGTCCACCTGTACGGTCTGGCCCCTCCTGTGAGCTTTCAGCTTGTACGATCACATCTTTACCGATACTGAGGCTGAATATGTGTGATGGGCAGCAGCCACATGTTCCCGCTGTATCAGGAGGACACAGGCTACCCCAACCCTCACAGTTCCATGTGTCTGTATATTTTGATTACACAGATACTTTTCAAATACTTTACAATGTTTCTGGCTGAGTTGACCTCTGTCTATTAGTATAGAATAATCAAGATTTGTTTGACAGTAAGAAAAGTGTCCTGTTTATTTTTCAAACATTTATTGTTTGTTTATATGAGAAGGAGAGAGAGAGATCTTCCACCAGCTGGTTCAGTCCATAAATGGCTGCAATGGGAGGGGCTGGGCTGGAGAAATTGGTAACTTCATACAGGTTCCCCCTGATGGCAGGGTTCCAAGCATTTGGCCATCATCTACTGTCTTCCTAGGCTCCCATTAACAGGGAACTGGAATGGAATTGGAGCTGATGGGATTCGAGCCAGTGCTCAGATGGGAAACCAGCATTGCAGGTGATGGCTTATTAACATGCTGCACTGTGCAGGGCTCTTACTGATATAGCTACTGTGCACCTCAAAACTTCCTTACCTCACAGACCTGAGGCCAGATGTCTCCTCTACTGCAGCAGGGCTGTTCCTCCCTCAGGAGGCTCAGGAAAAGAGGTGCAGGGGAGAGAAGGCAGTGGCCTCTATTCCCTTGCCTGATTCTTGCAGCAGTGGAGAACTTGGATTCTGCCAAGGGCCACTGAATCTTTATAACATCATTTATAGTCCACACAGAATCATCAGCTTAAAATAATGAGGGCCTGGCACATTAGCCTAGTGGCTAAACTCCTTGCCTTGTAAGCACCGGGAACCCATATGGGCACCGGTTCTAATCCCAGCAGCCCTGCTTCCCATCCAGCTCCCTGCTTGTGACCTGGGAAAGACAGTCAAGAATGACCCAAAGCCTTGGGACCCTGTACCCAAGTGGGAGACCCAGAAGAAGTTCCTGGCTCCTGGCTTCAGATTGGCTCAGCACTGGCCATTGTGGTCACTTTGGGAGTGAATCATTGGACGGAAGATCTTCCTTTCTATCTCTCCTCTTCTCTGTATAACCTGACTTGGCAATAAAAAATAAATAAATCTTTTTGAAAATATGAGCCTGTCACATATGTTTTCAATTTCAAATCCTGCCTGGAACAAATGACTCCAGGCCTGAGAAGGCCCATGGGCCAAACATTCTGCTCCTGTGTTAGAGACTGTGACATTGCCTGGTTGTTACTTTGTCATGGCCACATCATATTGGACTCTGATTTCTCCATGTCCCTTCTGCTCATCCGAAGCTCCTGTGATTGCTTAACTCACCTGGAGAATGCCAGTGCCTGGCCCCTTCTCAGGGCCCTGAATCACAGCCACCCAGGCCTGCTACCCAGTAAAGGCAAATATTCACAGCTCTTTGACATCAGGCCTAACTCAAGGTCCCTTCTGAGGGTCTGTGCTCAGATCTCTGCTGGGGTCTGGGGAACGTTTTCCAGTATTTTCCCCATTGGGGGTGTGCTATGTGGTCAGTGGATCTCAGCCTCCCTGGGTCTCCTTCCTGCACTTTCCCTCTTGGGCCAGTAATGGTGAGGGTTGGGGAGGGAGAGAATCTGCACAAGGCATTGATTCTCTTCCCCACACTGCTGCCTCTCGGTGAGTCATGCTGGAGGTCAGTTCTGGGCAGAGGGTAGTCTTCATTCTTTGTTGTTTCTCTTCATTTGTGGATGATATTAGTGGAGATGGCCTTCATCCTGCTTCCTGCTGCACCTGTCCTGCTAGAGGCCCAGGGTCTCTGAGAGCTTTGGCTTGGATGTGCCCATCTCACGTCTCAGCCTCCCACAGCTTCTCTGCCCTATCCTGGCATGGCAGGCCCTGTCCTGAACCTCTGCTTTGCCTAGCTTTATTCCCAAGGCACAAGCCCCAGCTTCTGCTACCCCATGATCAGGAGATAAGAATGTGTGTTGCTTTCAGGAAGCCCTCTGGCTTCCTTCCTTCACTTTAGCTTGTAATTGAGCACTCAGCCCTGTTGTCTTCTTCTAAAGGATTGGTGCTCAGTGAGTGTTGTCCCTTGGTCCTAATCTCACATCCCAACTGCATTTCAAGTACTCAATGCCACAGAATTCCCAGGCCACAACCAGTGGAAGTTGTAACCAGCACTGCACAGCACTGCTCTGCTGGGCTCCTCATTGCCCACATGGGAGCCATCAATTATCAAGCCTGTGTTTCTAGACCACTGGTCCAGGTCAGTTTCCTGGGAAGCTGACTCCAAGGTGGAACAGGAAAGCAGGGAGCATCCAGGAATGCTCTCAGGGCCAATGCTTGTCACCAGCCTGGCAGAGGTAGTGTCAGTCCGCAAGTCCAGGGCACACAAAGGATTCAATGGCTCATGTGGAGAGCAAGAAGGGTGGGAATGGTCTTTAAGGATTGTTTTAAACTGAGGAGAGGGTGCTGGGCAAGTCTTGGGTGGGGGTTGCCCTTGAAGGATTCATGACCTTGGTGTGGGGGTACAGCTCTCTCCTGCTGAGGCTGTGTCCCAGCACTCCTCAGCTGAGCAGTCAGCCCCCAGCCCCCCTGCAGCCACATGTGACGAGGTCCCCCTCCTGCCTGGGGGCAGGCATCAGCATTGTCTTATTTATGAAATAGATGTTTCGGCACCATTGTTTCATTTTACCTGGGTTCCTGCCTTGGCCTTGAGCCGGTGTAGAACACAGGTATCAAAGCATTTTCAGGTCCAGGCTGCCACAGATGAGCTCATGGGGGCCCCTCTAATGGCTGCTCCTGTCTCTGATCTGCAGATTCTCCACCTGCTGCATTCTTCGTAATTTTCCTCCTCTGCTTCAAGGTGCTGCTGGTGATCATTTTCTCTGCCATTCTTTGCATCAAGAAGCAGAAGATCTCAGAGTAAGTTGTGTGTGTTGGAGGGAGGGCAGGGTCAGCAGGCCGAGCCAGGTTATATATTCTACATCAGGACCAGCCAGGTGTATACAAGGTGGCCCCAAGATGGTCCTCAGTCATTGTGAGGAAAGTGCTCTGTTTCTTTGTCAAGTCCTGAGTGTTGTAGTTTGCCACCTTCTTGTATAAGTTACAGTTTGTGAATGCTCACCCGCCTTCTGTTCGCCTCTTACTCTTGGAATCATCAAGATGTGACTATCCTATCCCCCAAAGCCCCTTGAATATGATGTATTTTGCTGGTGTCTCTTTTGCTGAGACATCTTCTCCCACATCCATATCTCCACTTCTCTGCTTTAGTTCAGGAAGTTCGGCTTCCTCAGTGTTGGGACAGCAAGATGTCACCAAGACCCCGTGTCCTCAGACGGCTGCTGATCCACCTCTGACCCCACCTTCAGTGCATTCCAATGTCCCTTCCCATGTCACACCTCCTCCTCACTTCACTGCAGTTTTACCTCCATTGTCAAAACCTCCTCTCCATGATTAATTTCTGTGACGCATTGTCCAGCCCTTGGGAAGGAGACCTCGTGGCTACGAACTTTGAGGTCTTGCATGCAAGCAAGGATTTGCAGGAACTCGTCATCAGCAGACTTTGGATGAAGTGACCTAACAATGGTTAAGGGGCACACTTGTTGTTTGTGGACTGATTTGCACCATGGCTGAAGAGCTGGCCCAGAAGTTTGAACCTCATGGCAGCTTTTACTGTACTCACACTGCATGTCAAGTTTCTTCACAGTAACGTATGGTGGTGACTGAAACTGGAGCCATGTGCTGCAAGATTTGTGCGATTTTAGGGAACTCGGAGGACTAGAATTCATGTACATTAACACCAGTGTGAGAACTGCCCGAGTGTGTTTGTTTTCCTTTTTCAGTTCTCACAGGGAAGTGACTGTGTACAGGCAGATGCCAGGAGAGTGAGGATCAAACAGGAGGCAGTCGAGTTTCCCTTAATAAATGAATGACTGTCTCATTGAGGACATTAGTGTCTCTTACATGTCACAGTTCTCTTTTTTCTCCATGGTGACATTTTATTGGCATATGACAGATTACAACGGTGCATGATAAATTATACCTTACATTGAGTAAGAATCATTTAGCCATCTGCATGCATTCTTACTCACTGACATTTTTTTTCTCAAATTATGATTTAATTCCCAACACTGATGTTAACAGTAACAGATGGAATAAAGCAGTTCCTTGACGTAGACTGCAATTGGAAAATCATACTTTGCCTTCTATGTTAATAAGTCTTTCTTCATTCAGTCACCCAGCTCTTGTACTCTCAAGCACTGTTCTTCAAGCTTACTCTCTCTGCTTTGTATTAAAAAACTCATCAAAAATTCAATATCTCAGGAAAATAAGGACGTCCCCTCCAAAAGAAAAAAGCCAAAAGCAAGTCCACTTTGATTGAAGTATGTTGAAAGGGCACAGGAGCCAACTGCAAGAACTCCCAGTGGCCAAAGCTGGAACAGCATAATAAATAAAGCAATATTAGGTTATAACCCCACATAGCACACACACATCTGTGAGCCCTACTGACATAAATAAGTGAACACACTAACCAAAGAGAAGAGACACATCTCTGCCTAGAGAAGTCTCAGATGACCGGAGTGCATAGGGGCCACTAAGAAAGTGGAACACAGCTCCCCACACACAGAAGTGTGGGCCATACAGTGACTCTCCTCCCAACAGTGCAGTGTGGGAGAGGGTGAGGAATGACCTCATCGTGGAGAGAGACTTGCAGCCAGCTGATCAGCAGTTTATACACACTCACAAGTCAGGCTCAGCAGTTGGGAAGTCAACACCCACAGGTAGAAATCAACATGGAGCTCGACAGCCAGAAATTGTGTCAAGGACCCTCGATGGGAGGAAAGAGATGCTTTTTCTCTGTTGCCATCATCCTCCAAGTCCACAGGCAGGAAGTGAGACCTCAGGTGGATTCTGGAAGCCCCCTGAGAAGGAAAAGAAGAAAGGAGAAGACCCTGCAGATCAGAGTGGCTGGGGCATTCTGGAGAGAGGCTCAAAGTGCCGAGAGCTTCCAGAGACAGATTTCCAGGGTCAGCCGCTGGTCCTCCCTCCCCTGGGGGAGGAAATCCTGCAAAAGCACCTGTTCGTACCAATCTGTGCAACAGTTCTCCTGGTTCATGGGGCCTCTGACACAGTAGGTCTCCAGGTAGAGGTAAGAATCGGCTCCTGACTATGGGACACCATGATCCTGACACACACAGTTCAGGTAATGAGATGGAAAAGATGAAACTGCTCTTGGATCGTTCAGCAACATTCCCTAACAAGCCCAAGCAGTTGACAGAAATACAAGATATCTAAACCTAAGAATCTCAAATCTTCCCTGTCTGGCACCTAATACAAACTTGGGAGGCATAGAAATGGCAGCAACGTGTGATTTCTACAGAGAAACATAACCCAATATTTGGAAACTTAACCAGAAAAGACAGAGGAGAGTTTAGTACACAAGGACATGAAAGTTCTTATGAAGTATTCAAAAAGCTGGGAGGCAATCTGGGAAGTAGATGCACAGGAAGTATTTAAATGACCCATAATGAACTTTACAGGATAAAAGCTGCAACATCTAACAGAAGAATTGACTGGGTGGGATTAATAATAGAGAAAACATTAAAGGAAAAAAAATGAATCCAAAGATGGCACCAGGAACTACTCATACTTACTGACACATATTTGGAGTTCTATGTTTAAAAAGAGTAAAAACAAATCACAGGGGTACTTCTAAAAGGTCACGGAGAATGGAGTTCAAGAGAACTTCACTCTTGTGTAAGAAAATTTTGAATATCACACATACGAAGGGTCTTAAGAAAGTTTGTGCAAATGCATTTTGTGATAAACCATGCAAGAAGTTTCAAAAATATGTGCATCAAAATACAATTTTCTTTTGATTATGTTTTCTATGAACATTTTGAAGTGCCTTGGTACAAACATCCATATTTCTTCATGATTGTTTTAAAAGGAAGCCTAAAGAAAAAGTAATTCTAAAAGTAGAGGCACAACAGCAGGAAGCCCGGACAGAAGAGACAAAGATGAATGCTAGTCTTCTCTGAATGGAGCTTAAGCTTTGGCTTTGTGAACACATGAATGCTTTTAACAATTAATAAAATCCAAAATGAAAACATTTCCCAAAATCCAAGTGCCTAAATCCAAAATGAAATTCATTCATCTCACCATGCCTTAATGGCTTACTCACACAAAGGCAGAGTATTTCAAGGAATTTTAAGGGGCAGGGTTTTAGCCTGGGCTCAAGAGAAGCAGCTCTGGAGACAAGGAATACAGGCAACCTCAGCAATGAAAGGTGACATCAGCCACTCGGTACAGGCTGAACCATCAAGTCAAGGCCATTGTGGCCAGCTGCAGAGTCATCCAGCTGGGAAACTCTGGGAACCAGGACAAACAGTGAGAAATTAGATCAATGCAAAGATGTGGTAGTTTCCAACAAAGAAAAGGGGCAAGAGAGAAGAGGAATTTCTTTATTAAGAGATGACAAACAGGATGGGTCAAAGGCTGGGCACCTTGGAGCTCCTGTACCTGTCCCCTTTGCTCTCTCCCACCCCCATGCTGGCTGCTGGCTGTGTTTCAAGAACCAGACATCATATCTCCAAGGATGACGCATAGATTAAAGAGGGCAGAGACAGGGCTATATCTTCCACGGTACCCATATGAGTGTCTCAACTCTCCATGACATAGCAGGACAGCAAGATGCCACCCTCCCCTGCTGCATCTGCCACACACAGCTTTTAATTCAAAGACATGTGAATCACATGCCCAAGAGGGGAAGAACACATATTTCCAGACCTCTGAGGCCCTGGCCCCACCAGGAACCCTATAAAAGCTTCACTTGTCAGGTGAGGCATGAGGTCCAGGCGCGGGTGCAGGCCAACAGGTGGCAGTATGAGGTTAGAGGAGAACCAGTGAGCAGGGTGAGTGGGCCTAGGGCCTGTTGCAGGCTGGCTCTGCAGGTGGGGTGTGGTTCAGCATCCAGGAGGGACTCCAACTGCCAGGGCACTGCGAGAGGAAGATGGCCATGGGCTTGCACTCCCTGTTCTCCTTGACCTTGAAAGGTAATGAATCTGAGGGCTTCGGAGCTGGCCCTGACCACTTCAGCCCTGTTCTCTGTGTCTCTCATGCCAGGCCCAGCTGGAGCACAGAGGCCTAGGCTCCCTGGGATTGGGCAGGGGTGGGTGGGAGGAGAAGCACGGAGCAGATGTGATGACCACTCCCCGTCCCCCCGCCCCACAAGGATCTTGAAGGGGAACAAAGGCTGCCGCTCGGGTTCCTGCTTCCACTGTAGGTCACAGTGGGTACTCCGCTCCTCAAAAGCAAAGGATCTTCCCTCCCCTCCTGCCTTGGTCAGCAGGTGCTGCCCAGCATGGAACCAGCCACGATGCCTGGAGCTGCCACCCCAGCTTCCCCTGCCTCGATACACTTTGAAGTCCACCCACATCCACTGTTACTCACAGTCTCCCTTGGTGGGGAGAGCCAGAATCGGAATAAGCAGTAGTGGAAGCGGGGCTCTCGTGCCCCACCCAGGGGGAAAAATCTCTGTCAAGGTTCAGACCTCAAGTCCATGACCTTGACTAGGAATCCAGCAGAAGCAGCGCTGGCTCTGACTACAACACAATGCTCATGGCCCCCGTTCTGCTCCCCACCCCAGGGAAACCCATTTTGACTGCCCCACAAGTTCTGTGATTAACCTGCACAGCCTCCCTATGACTTGTGCTATCAAATTTTATTTTAAATTGTTGCCATTTACACAGGGACATATAAAGATGAGTTTAACGAATATACATGGATTTATAATTTCTAAATATTTGTGACACATGTTTTATACATGCACGTACTCACTAATTATCCTGAGAGGAGAGGCAGGGATATAAATAGCACACACTGTGGGACTTGTGGCAAAGATCATAATGAGAGAAAAGAGCGCTACATTATTGTGTTTGGGGTTTAGTTCATGAATGTCTATGTCCCATGGCATCCTCACTAATTTTCTCATGTGAAGGAAAGCACTTTGAAATGTGTCTTTCTGTTTCTGGCTTATAGCACTTAGCATAATGATCTCCAACTCATCCACTTGGGTGCAAATGTAGGAATTCATTCCTTTTTTGTGGCTGAGTCATACTCCATCACGTACACATGCCACATTTTCTGTGTCCAGTCGTCAGCTGATGCACATCTGGGTTGATTTCCTATCTTTGCTATTGGAGCTTCAATAAACATGGGAATATTTTAACATGCTGACTTCATTTCCTTTGCACATGTTCCCAGAAGTAGGATAGCTGGATCATATGGCTGATCTATTTTTACTTTTCTGAAGGATCACCATGCCATTTTCCTATAATGGCTGTACTGATTTGCATTCCCACCAACTCAGCAGCATTTGCTATTTCTTGACCTTTTGGTAACAGCCATTTCATTTGGAGTGAGGATACTTCACTGTGGTTTTCATTTGCATTCCCTAAGGGCTGGTGATACTAAACATTTTCTTATGTGTTTGTCAGCCATTTACATCTCTTGTTTTGATAAATATGTTTTCAGATCCTTGCTCACTTCTTGGCTGGATCCTTTGTGTTGTTGCTGAGTCTCATGAACTCTGTATCTTATGGATATTAATGCTTTATCAGATGCACAGATTGCAGATACCTTGTCCCATTTGTTGGTTATCTACTCACACCGATTGTCGCCTTTGCAGTGGAGAAGGTTCTTAGTTTGACACACTTTGCTTTTGTCTGCTTTTTGTTCTGTTATCTGTGCACTTGGAATACTGTCCAAGAAATAATTGCCTTTGCCAGTCAACATCCTGGAGTGTTTCCTTGTATCTTCCTCTAATAGTTTCATAGTTTTTGTTTTTACATTTAGAGCTTTGATCCATGTCAAGTGGGTTTTGGGGAGGGTGTAAATTAGAGCTCTTGTTTCCAACGTCTGCAGGTGAAAATCCAATTTTCCCAAAACTACATACGGAAGACACTGTCCTTTCTCCAGGGAGTGGTTTTAGCACCTTGTCAAAGATAAGGTGATTGGAGATGCCTGGATTTATTTGTGGGCTTTCTGTTCTGTTCTATTGATTCATGTCTATTTTTATGTGTGTACCATGCTGTTTAGGTCATAATAGCCCTGTTGTATGTCTAGAAATTTGGTATTATGTTGCCTCCAGCTTTGTTTTTATCATTCAAGATTGATTT